AGAGGCCCTGAGAGGGAAGATCACAGTCCGCAAAAACAGAAAGGATCCACGGTCCCTCTTCATAACCCTGTCAGTGAAGGACACGCAGCAGACCTACAGCCTCCAGTGAAAATCCTGGGCACATAACTTGGGGAGGTGTTAAAGTCAAATAACTGTTTTTAAATATCCCCAAATGGCAAACTCTTGGATTTGCGTGTGTGTATGCACACACGGGAGTATGAAAAATTTGCCTGGAATTGAGAGAGCACTGTTTGGATGCTTTTGCTCTGGGACATGGAGGCTGACAACAAAATCGGATTCTGCTGCTTCCCTTATGTGAGGAAGGCAAGAAAGATGGGTTTGGGTTACATGAGACTGCTGGGTGAGAAAAATGAGTGTGAAGTCTTGCTGTGATGAACAGTAAATATGATCTCTCAATATTGTTTTATTCTTCCACTGCAAAATCCTTGCATAATATTTTTTTATGAAAGAAGAAGCTAAATCACGTGCCAGTGCACCTCAACAGTATCTGGAAAATCCTAATGGTACTAATTTTGGAATTCCAAAGACCGTATTTTTAATACACTTCTGTAATTAAAAAGTTGTACACAGTTACATTTATCTAAATAAATGAACCCAGTATGACATAGAATGCAGTTGCCGGTTTCCTTGTTTTCTGTGTAATTGGAAGTTCTCCTGTTTATCCAGTGATGGCTCATTTAGTTGTGCCTACAGTTTTTTCTGTATTAGCCTGTTGGGGCATAGGTGGATGGAAGTATGTATTTTAGCAGCTTTAGGAAAAATACTGCAAACAAAGAACAATTGCTGAAAGGGTGGATTTGGTTTGGCTTCTTAAAGAAACATTCTGAACAGTCAAGGGTTGACTGTTCAAGGGAGGAGGGGTTTCATGAAGATACTCATTCCTGTGTGAAAACTGCTTTCATTTTGGCTGGTCTTGTTCAGGGCCCTTCAACTTAAATTTCTTTATACTTCTGCAGATTTTATATTTGTATAAATGTGGCCATAGTAAGCAAGAAAGGAAGAAAATGCAAAGGGAGAGCCATGCAAAGCCCTGTAGGGAGTTTGTGTAGCTCAGTAGCAGGGCTGAAAATGCAAAAAAGAAAGTTGAAAATATGTAAAAGAAAAAAGTAAATGCTATTGTAAAATAAATAAATAAGAACTAAACCCGCAAACTGTGTAAAGAACAAAGGATTTGCTATCATTAACCAGAAAGAAAATGTCCTGAAAAGACTAATTAATGTAAAGCCTGAGGGAGGGTCATTTGATGAAGGCTTTGGAGTTTCAAAGAACTTTTAATACACAAGTGGACATTGATCTAATAGCCAAGGTCTCATAGCATCCTGGAAGTAACCCATCAATTTTAGGTGGCTTTTTTCAACCTAGCAGTTGAATAATATGGGATTCATCTGACAGCACAATCAGTTATTTACATTTCCTAATTGTAACTCTAAAAATTAAGTGTTGTAGGAAATGTGATCAATAAATACTCTTTTAAAGGGATTCTAACGATTGAGGCAGAAAAGTGGAAAGTAACTACTTAAGAGTAGAAATGCCCTTGAATTTGTCCAGTGGGAGATAGCAATACTTCATTCAAATGTGATCCTTTATTCTAAGGCACATGGTCAATGTGGCCAAAGATGCAAATGATCTGTAACTGAATTAAAAATAAATAAATGAACCAGTGTGACAATGGCTGGACAGGTCAGTTGTACATTCTGCATAGTTCATGGAAACATTTCTTTCTCCATGTGATGGTAACAGCTTGTCTTCCAGCTGCCTCTGCTGCAGGCAGATTCCAGCTTATGGCATCAAGTACTTCTGCAGACCTGTTTAAGACCTGTGCAGACCTGTTTAAGAAGTGGCTACAACTCATTACTGTGGAAAAGCAAACAGTATCATCCTTATCTTGGGTATTTTCTTCCTAGGGAGGGTGAAGACACTGATGCAGATTTATCCATATTGGTTGTTTGTGGTCTCCGTGCTGGTTATGTTGAGATGCACAGGCAGAGTTGTGCTTCAGCACACACATTTCCAACTCTTCTACTCATCTTTGCAGCTTCTGTTTTTCTCTGTCCCGGAGTTACAAACCCCTAACCCATCTGCCGAAGAGGAGGTACACATCCCCTTTAAATTCCCTTTGTGATATGATGATAAAGTCCAGTTGTAGTTGTAGACGATCTGTTTGTCAGTCATTGGTGTATAGATTTTTTTAAAATACTTTTTAACAACTGGGATAGTTGCAATTTCAGACCTAAATTTATTACTTCAGCTCCTGTATTCAAAAAAGAAAGAAAAAAGTAAATTGCAGAGAGACTGAATTTCACTTATCATCTGACAGCATTTGTCTGTTAGACCAGCTCATATAAATTGAGCTGCTCATCTCACAGTATTTATTTTTTAGCAGCAACGTCTTATGTGACAAAGTCTTTGTTTTTCCTTTTTCCTGACTAAGAAATATCACAATGATATATTCTATGGGAAAGTGTCTTCATTTGCAAAACCAAGGAACCTGTGTGGTAAATAATAGTAGTGTCATGTAAATGTGTACATGTGTATGTCTCCAGTATTTATACTCATACATGATCATGTACACATCCATACTGCAGGATATGGAAATTTTCCAGTTGGCACCATGCATTTTCAAAGGACCACATACTAATGCTAATATTTCTAAATTCATATTGGGTTCTCTGAATGTTTTGTAGTTAAACTATGTTTTTCTGTAAAAATACACTTGTAGATTAATTACTGTGATTGTGATCCTATTGCATTATCTTTAATATCCCATGATTATTTCTACACTTTATTGAATGGGAAATCATTTAGAAAAATTGCTGGTTTGGCTAAGAATGGTTTGATGGTTGTTTCTTTTTATTGGGAAAGTCTGTTTTTGCCATGCTTAATAATGAAGTCCAGTGGTTCTGAAGAACATTGAATGGACAGTGTTTTTTATGTTTAATCCAATAGTTAACCTCTTTCTCAAGGAGTATTCTTAACTAGCAGTTATCAATCTCTATTCCTGCTTAAGTAATTTACATTATACTTAGCCCAAGGTCAGATGTGTTAAAATTGACTAGTGATTCATATAAGTTCTGTTAATATTCAGATAAAAACTGAAGGTTGGCCTGCCTTCTTCTTGCAAATCTGTGCCCAGAGTCTGGGTACTTGAAGATAAATAATCCACCTGAAAATAGTATTGGATGTGCCCACACCTCCACTTCTTATTTAGATGTTAATGGCATTTGGGTTCTTTTTTTTTTTAAATCTTGTCTTCTGCAGTGTTTTTAAATGTTTAGCTAAGCTGTAAAACTATCTTCCTGCTTCTACCCATCAGAGAGCAGCTAAGCAAGACAGATAAACTTGGAAGCTTCTGGTCCTTTGCTACTGAATGTCCCTTCAGTGAGTGAGCATCATGCTGGGGTCTCTTAATAGGATTTTTGTGTGCACACCTCAGTTTGACCTTCTAAATTCTGTCCTATGGGATGTACTGTAGTGAGACAGATCCAGATAAAAGCAAAACCTCAATTTCAAATAAAGCTCTACAGAGGATTCAAAAGCTGGCTTGGGAGACACAGTTGCTAACTTAAAAAGGTAAGCTGCTAGTGAGGTTTTAAGACTTTTCTTTCAAGGATGTTCCTCTGCTCTCTGTTTAATAGTGCCTGAAGTTCCCTGTAGTAATGACTCTTAGCATTTTCTGTGCCTGGTTTAAATTGTTTGAAGGAAAAATTGCAGCAGTGTGTCTTCACCGAGGTTAGTGGAATGACACAGCCTGGCTATGACTGGCTGTCTGGAAAAAGAAGGAGGGGGAGTTGGAAAATCAAGAGTTGAAAGTAAAGGCTTACTTCACTTCACTTACATCACTGAAGTGATGATGATCTTATTTTTAGAGAACAGGTTTAGAGGTAACGATTTGCTACTGCTTTTACGGCATTGATTGACTGCATAATAACGGGATTTAAGGGTTTTCAAAGACAACCAAAAATAAAGTCATGGGCATATCTCTGAATATACAAACTTACAAAGAAATTTACAAAGAGATTTTATGTTATTCTGTTTATCCAGGCATTGGCAAATTATAATGCTGGTGAAGTAGTGACATCTAATTAAAAGACAAATACCACATTACAGGGAAAACAGAGAGAAAAGCTGGCTTTTAGTGTCATGAGCACTGCAGACAAATTTGCAGAAGGGCTTATGTGATAAAATAGGTGTAAAAAACATCCAGTTGGAATTACTTTTATATAGTTGGACTGGAACCTGAAGATGGTTCAGTTTTCCAGGTTTAGTAGAAGTTTAAACACCTACTGTTTGATAATACTTATTTTACCTTCTATAAAATTCATAGGTAGATAATTAACTTGATAGGGAAAAGCAGTGTTTTTAATGGTATTGTTGAACAGCAAAGACAGAGGGGTCAAGGAGAAGCCTTACGGCTGGTGAGGCACTATGCACATAGAAATTAAGTTTTGTTAATAGAATATTTAAAAAGCTCGTGCTTTTCCAGTACATGGATCTGTAAGTAATAGCCTGTTCCCTGATGTGTACCAACTGGCTCTGAATCTTTATCTACTTTACTAATTCTCATATATCAAACTAGAAACAAACTTCATTTCTATGCCTTTCTGAATGGCAAAGAGTGTTACTCAGTTCTTGGAATTACTAATGCCTCCAGGTTCCAGCACTCTCAACTCCTTGGTGATCAATGAAAAAGATTCATCCCGTGGAAAAACTACCATGAAACAATCAACTTACAGATTTATAACATTTCTATTGCTGTTCCTGTAACAATTAGCCAAAGTAAAAATAAAAGACTCTTAATGACAGTGATAACAAATTAAAGAGGAATAAAGCTTACTCAACATGTTAATTCTATTTTCCACTTGGGTACTACTCAAAACATCAGTGCAAACAGAGTGAGAGCAAATATGTCCCATGGAAAGCAAACTAACTGAAGTTAGGCTTTCACAAGTGAGAGCTACAACCCAAATGGGTTGTTGGCAGATGCTAAAACAATCCTGCTTTAGATGGTGGTCTGAGAGGCTTTTCAAATTATTTTGTTTTCTTCCATGGAGAAAAGAGCCAGGTGAAGCTGGGGATGTCCATTTTCTCAGGTTTGTTTTTTTCCTGACCACTCTACCATCTTGATACATGTTATGGCCTACAAAAAAAAAGGAATAGATTTTTCCAAAGAGAGTGTCATTAACTGAGAGAGATCACATCTGTTCACCTGAGTAATGTGCAGTGAGGAGCAAGGCCGTGAGTGATTCAAGTACTCACATTTGGAAATTACCATTGGTAAATCCCATCTCATGGACATAATGCCATGCTACCAGAATATAGTCTGTGCCATGTATGCTCCCCTTGGTATCACTACACCTGGCTTCATTTTTTTCCCACTTGAGCAGGTGATAGTCATAGTATGTATTTAATGACATAGATAAAAAAAAAATAAAAATAAAAATCTTAAAATTGACACAGTTCATCCAGTATTGCCCATTAATACACATTTGCTTAGCTCTTTATTACCATTACTCTCTAGTACTGCTATTTGCAGTAGTTTTCATTATAAAGTTAATCTTGCTCAGAATTAACAGCTTTTACTTATATTTCCCTGAGTGTTGCAGATTGCCTAGATGAAAGAAGGAGTTCTAGAATGGCAGGAGAGGAAAGTGAGCTGGTGGGAGACACTCCAGAAGACTACAAGTCCTGGGTGGCACATACCACAAAGAGCTCCCTTGAAGGAGTGTTGATCCACTTTGGGTAATGATGATTTAGGTAATTAAGCCTGAAATACAAGTAAGATTCAGTAAGTAGAATTGAATTTTGATTTAACCTTCTGATGGGTTATTCAAAGAGAAGAGCACTGAAAAGAGGGAATTTCTTAATAATATTGACTCCTGTCACAACGCTGGACATTCTTGAAGCAAAGTCTACTCAACTGGAAAATTGGATGTGAGGAGCAGGAGGACTTCTCTGTGACTCAGATGCTAAACTGTGCTGTACTGCTTGCTTGGGAATTAATACAAAGCCTTACACTGAGAAGAAAAAGGAGTGGAAAGATAGGTTTCTTGCCTCCTATTAATACCTGCATTGACGTTAATTTTGGGAGCATTGCGTAGACCTCAAAATGGATTTAGCTTAGAGAATAACAGATATTATTGAGTTGTGTCCATAGAGGTAGAAATAATGCTCTTGCAATTGGTCTGCATGTGATTTTGACCACCTTTAGGGTATCAGGTAACAATGACCCCAGACTGTGCAGCCTTGCTGAGGATGGGTATCCCCAATCTTTTTTGTCACCTGGACCAAACCAATGTCTTTTGTAAATGACAGCAAATTGCAGCAGGAAACACACTGCCATGGAAGGAAAACAGAAGGAGAGGGGTTTTGTTGAAATGGACACATTGCCAAAGAAGCTTAGTATTGTAAAAACCATATGCTGTTGAGGTAAAAATGGCAAACTCCTTCTTTAACTACCAAACCATTAAGCTCTGATCAAAATTTTCTGAAGTGACTAGTGATTTTATTTTTTTAATTTATTTATTGCTCTGATGAAACTGAGATATATCTTCTTACAAAAGTTTACCTTCCTGAAAAACCTGAGTAAAAGCCCCTTTGTAGTGCCTTAAGTGAAAGGTAGTTTGTTTTCTCTAAAACAGACTTCCTGAGTATTATTTCTGCAGAATAAGTTGATCTATGTTTAAATATTTAAAAGATGTCATGCTTTTTCTCATCTTCCTATATCAAAAAACCACAAAAACACAAGCAGATGATACATGCTCTAAAGGAGGGAGTAAATACTCAAATTTCATGGCTTTCAAGTTGCCTTTTAATCCATTATTTTGGTCAATTCTCAAGTTAAAACCTATATGTGACATCTGAGTAAGGAATACACCATGGAATTAGGGTTGTGGTTGAACCTATTCCTTAATGGAATTTTATGTTTTTCACACAAAAGTATTTTTCTGAATCAGATGTTTCACGCCTGACTTATTCATCCGTGTGACAGTTAATTACTTTTGAAGTAATTGAGATATTATTATAGAAGGAAGTGGGTAAGAGAGCTGTCAGCAGTAAAACCTTCACAAAATCAATATTGTAAGATCATCTGGAACAGGTTGCCCAGAAAAGTTGAGGATTCCCCATCCCTGGAAGGGTTCAAGGCCAGGTTGGATGGGGCTTTGAGCAACCTGGTCTAGTGGAAGGTGTCCCTGTCCATGCCAGGGGGTTGGATCTAGATTATCTTTAGGGTCCCTTCCAACCCAAACTGTTCTATAACTCTGTGATCTTGCAGTCTGCTTTTGTAGTTGCCATGTGAAAACATTGCTTGAGTCAGTGGAATAAACGAGGAATGGCTGATCTGTTACAACAGTATCACCATTTCTCTGCTCATGTGGATTTATTCCCAGCAAGAAATTGTCATGATAGTCTGCAGAGTTGGGGAAAGACATTCAAAAAACTTACAGGAGAGTTTATTAGGTTTTTGATGAAACACTTCTCTTTGATATGCCTGCCAGGACGTGGCTGCTTTTCCTGAGTTCTGCCATTGCTCCTCTGGGGCCACTCTGTGCTTGAATGTTTTCAATAACCTCCTGTATTTGCCCGTCATGTTACAGCACTGCGAGCGAAGTGGAAACCCTGCCTGTTAGTCACTGTGCCCAGCTAATACCTTATCAATGGAGTAAACCTTGTTTTCAATAGGTCATTGCTAATCAATCTGTTTTTCAGCATATTCTGTTGTTGCTAGCTGTGTATTTAAAACACTGAAGTGCACTGATCCTTTGGAAGAGGGCAAATACATATTTTCAAGTCTCCTTCGCCATCTGCATTCACTGTTTGATGTGTGCAGCTTTCGTTATCTGGGGAGGAGGGGAAGTACTCCAGCACCAAACTTTGGCTTCTTTGATGTGTACTATGCATTAAACAATACTTCACCAGTCTCTTTGAGAAGGTGGTGTGGTGGATAACCAGAGAGGCTGGGGAACTGGGTAGATCTGTCATGTGCTTTTTTTGCACAAAATATTTTAAGTACAGAGTCTCTTTCCAGAGTGCCTCACCTCTACCTGCTCTTCCCCATCTTCCATAAAGAATAAAAACTTAGATGGAGTGAGCCAAGTGTCATTTACCTTTTCTCTAAAGATGAAGCTGAATTGAGGAGAGGGATGCATAAGCCTAGCTGGTAACAAGAGCATAGATGGTAGGAAAAGTTAATAAAAGGCACTTGGTAAGGTAATTATCTCAAAGCAGTGTGTGGTTTAAGAAAACATCACCAGATCCTATTGCCTTTTCCTGTACTTCATAGGAGCCTCAGCAGGTCATATTTCTTTTCCTGCAGTCTGTTACAGCTCACACTGTGAAGCTATTTTTCATGCTCAGTAGCATGGAAGCAGAGGGGAGAGTATGAGGTATCACCTGGAGGATTTTTACAGGGAGTTACACGTGGATCTGATGAAGGGCCAGGGGGAGATCGTGCGGGTGACTTTTGATCTTTCTGTGGTACATTCTATGGACTGCAGTTTGCACTAGCTTGCTTCCCTCTGATTGTGTGGGATTTGAAAGAGATAAATAAACTGACTGTAGGTGTTAATAGCACTCTGGCTCCACATACGAGCTTTCTAGGCTCAGTATGTTTGGTGGTAATCGCATCAAAAGTAAATACTGAGCATGCATGTATCCCTCTTTCACTTGCCTGCAACTGTCCAGGGGGAAGCCATAAGTTCAAGTCCTCTTGCCTGTTGTATCTAAATCTGAGTTTTGGAGCAGGTTTTGGTGACCTTGCTAGCCTAGAGGAAATAACCAAGAATTTCTGGATCAGCCCTGTTTGAACCCCACCGACTCTGTTGGTTGATATCGTGAGCTGCTGGTAGTTTTCAGATCATCTCTGCAGAATACACAGTTCTGTCTTGCAGACCTTATTGCTACTTCTCCTTGAACTGTACATTCATTTCCAGTCTGGTTTTTGTTTATTGGGTTTTAGGGTTTTTTTCCCCTGTGTCTGACACATGCTCCCAAATTGTATTTGTCTCAGTCCAAATTGTGTTGAAGTGTGTGTCTGTATGCTCTTCCACTTTCTTGGGGGCTCTTTGCTTTTCCCCAGGATCAGTGCTGTGTGATACCTGGAATTTGTTTCTCTGTCTGCTACAGTCCAAGCTGACTTGGTTTCTTTACGCCTGAAAAGTAATCACCAATAATTGTCAACCCCAGCAGAAAGTTGGAGAAAGGAACATCTGGCCAAGTTCTGTGAAATTCCCTAGGCTAAAGGCCCTGGACATCAAAATCAATTTAATTTGTCTGTCTAAATGTTATTGCTCCAATTTGAGTAATGATGTGTTGCTTGAAGATGAGTAAATTGGGTAGAAAGAGGCTGGAGCCATCCTCTACATCTAAGGTATCTCTGTCTTGGCAGTTTTGTAACAATTCCTGTGAGGTAATGACTGGCACTCTGAAAAAATTCCTCTGATATGGGAGAGAGGAGAGTGCTGCCAGTGGAGTTACTGGTTGGTCTTGGTGGCTACATTGCAGACCTCCAGGCAGGCAGAACTTGTGTCTGGGGTTTGGCCCTCTAGCTCATCATACCTTGCAAGACCCTGGTTTGAATGCAAGTCAACCCCCGTGACTGGGTCCGACACCCATGATGAGGTGGCAGAATGGAAAAGTGTCAAAACGTGTCTTCCAAGCACATCATCTCACTAAATATGATATAAAAGGGCCCCCAAAATACTTCTTAGATTTCTCCCCCTAACAGGAAGACAAAAAATGCTAGGGTATCAAGCACACACATCAGCTGCTTGCTCTCTCATTGCACAGTGTCTAGAGAAAAAATAAAATAGGTAAGTGTCAGAGAATGAATCCATAAGAATGGATACAAATCCATAAAACTCCGAGGGCCTATTTTGAATGGAGAAATCTTGCTTTCTGGCTGTCTTTTGGTTTTTGCATAGATGTCTCTTGTGTCAATGAGTCACAGGTTTTCACCTTTTTAAAAGGAGATTTGTGTGTGAGCAATGGCAGGACAACGTGGCAAAGTCAGCGGAGATTCCTTCATAACTGATGTGTTTATTGAGGAAAAGAAAGGCAGTCAGCTGGGAATGCCTGAGCCCAAAGGTATTTGTAAGAGATGCTTTACCACTTTCTTTTGGTTTAATTACTTAAACATGTGAAACCTTATCCTGGCTGCCAGTATAACCATATACTCATGAAATTGCATAAAATGAAGATGTCTAATATTTTTTAAAGTTAGTTACATAGATGTTTTTATCCCAGACTATTGAGATGTAATGAGAGGTCACATAAGAGGATATGAAACTGGATGAAGTCCTTGGAATTAGACCTGATCTCAGATGAATATATTCCTGAGCAGGAGGAGAAAGAATGGAGGTTGCTGCCCATGTTCACTCAAACTCTCAGTTGAAGTGATGTGCCTGAGGTCACCTGGGGGACTTGAGGCAGAGCTAAGCTCCAGTCTCACATCATCCTTGATAGGTTCCTCCCTTCCCCAGTTCATCCATTCCTGCCTGTTTGTCTGCTTCTTTAGCTGCAGAAGAGAAATTATGGTATTTAGCTGTATTTTGCTGAGCTTTTTGCAATGTGATGAGAAAACTACCTCTGAGTGTCCCAGACAAATGGGCTTTATTAGGAGACTGTAAAGAAAGATTAAATGAACAAGGTACTCAGGAGAAACTGAGGTACCTCTTATGATCTCTCTTTTTTTTTTTACCTCTTACCATCTCACTGACAAGCATAGGAGTGAGCTGAGAACCTTGTTAAGAAAATGGTCTTGACACTGAAGTCAGACTTCAGTTTTCCATTATCTTAGATAGTGGATCACCTTGAATTTTTCATATGACCAAGGCATTAGGTATATTTGGAGTGGAACTACAGTTGAAGCTACCCAGAATGTCAGAAGATGAAGCACAGGAATTAACAAAGTGATCATTTAAAAAATGAATCTTGTACCTTGGGAGAACAGTGTCATTCTAATTACTTGGAAATTTATGCTCAAGGAAATCCTTAAACCTAATTCCAGTATATAAACTGGGAGAGGCTTCCTTGCTTTTTTCATTTTTAAGCCGTTCAATGTCTTTGATTTAAACCAAATACCCTAAGTGGAAGGCACAGATCATCTGAGGATATGTAAGTTTTTTTATTGCAAAAAACATTGGAGTTCTCTCTTCAGAATTAAAGTTGAAGGTAAGCTACAAGTTGAGTCTAGTTCAGCATGACCAGATAAGCACTGAGGGATTATAGAGCAGAGTTCTGTGCTTAGTGAAGTGCAGACACTATGGGATTATGTAGTTCTTACTAACAGCTGAGGAGACTTTGAATAAGAGCCACATGTCTGCGAGCTGTAAGCCAGATTCTCTGCTGTGATGGCAGCCCCTTCGAGCCATCTGATGGTGTAATGGAGCTGAAAAGTGGCTCTGTAATAAATCCCCATCTCCTGCTCCTCACCTCTGGGGTGGTTCCCAGCTGCACAGTGTTGGCATACATGGCACTCTCATACCTAAGGCTCAGACCCCAGAATAGGGACTCCCTCTGGATTTACACTGGGAAACTACTAAGGATTGAAGTATTTCCACCAGTATATTCCCACAGAGCTGTTCCAAGCATACTGGGACTGATCTGATTCAGAAAGGGGAGTAATTACTGATGTTCTCCAAATAGATGGCCCAGTGAGAGAAGCAGTAGCTGAAAATATGCCCTTAGCATTTATTCTTCAGCCAAAATAAGGTTCGATTTAACTTATCACCTTAAAAGTTCACTGCTTATGAATGTCCTACAAACTACTTACATCTCAATGCTGGGTTGACTTAGCAATCCTGAACAGATGGGTTTCTTCAGCTGGCACTTAGCAAGATGAAGGGTGGGACTTTTTCATGCTGACAGAGGGATCATAGTTTTGTTATGTCTGTGTGACAATCACCATACCCAATTCACCCTGTATTGGGGTATTTCCCCTTTCACAATGAAAGAGGAAAAAAAGTGTTATGTGGAGCCCTTTTGTTTAAACAAACCTAGAACTTCCTATGAGAGACCACAGAAGCAGTTCAAGGGGTTTTTTTTCCCAATCAGAATCCAAATTACTTGCCTTGGTAAATACTGAAGTAGTTACATTACTACGTTTATTATGTGTTTTCTTAAAATAGGACCAGGTAGTCAGTGTTCCTGACTCCTGGGAAAGCTCCTCATAGAGGTGCATGCCATGAATTTTTGTTTTGGC